TGTTTATCTCTTGATTAGAACTGGGGTTATGGGTTTGGAGAAGGAAAAGGTAAAGTGACATTTTCATCATGGCATATCAAGAGGTACCTGCTATCAACATGAGTTGTCACTGTTGGTGTTGAGCTTGATCCCCTGGCCATGGCAGTGTTCGTCAGGTTTCTTCAACATAAAGTTATTCCTTTTCCTTTCCACACAGACTCTTCGGAAGGAGGTCACTATGCACAGGCTTCACTTAAGGAATGGGGAGTTAGGCTTCACCTCCTTGAGGGCAGAGTATGTCCATACCTTATTTGGAATTCTTCCGTATGGGAAATTTGTCTGTTCTTCCCTATATATTAAATTACTCAGCCACTTATTTATATAAATGTAGAACAGTGTTTTTAACACATATAGTGAAATTTCATATTCCCCTGCCCAGAATCCTACAGTGGCTTCACACCGCATTCAGAATGAAATGGAAACTCCTCTCCATGGCTTAGAGGCCCTGTATGGTCTAGACCAAGCTTGTCCAACCCATGACCTGTGGGCTGCGTGCAGCCCAGGATGGCTTTGAATGTGACCCAACAAAAATCCGTACATTTTCTTAAAACATTATGGGATTTTTTTGTGATTTTTTTTTTTTTTTTAGCTCATCAGCTATCATTAGTTTTTTTGTGTGTGACCCAAGGCACAGTTCTTCTTCCGGTGTGGCCCAGGGAAGCCAAAAGATGGGATATCCCTGGTCTAGACCCTTCATCTCATAGTGCCTTACTCTCACCACAGCTTCCCCACTCCGTCAGCACTGACCTGAACACCCCAAGCCTGAGCAGCTGCAGGGCCTTGTGTTTGCCCTTCTTTCTGCCCAGCAGGCCCTTCCTTCAGACCTTCACCTGGTTGGTTTCCTCATTTCATTGAGTCTCTGAGAGCCCTTTCATCACCACCTCATTTAAAAAGAATTTTCTGTCCCGGTTCACTGTTTCCTTACCCTGCATTTCTTTATTGCATTATCCCTACTGATGTCTATATTTATTTTTGGGGTTTCTTATTTTTCTGCCAGTGTAATCCGAGCTCCATGGGGGTGGGGCTATTCACCAGAACATCCCTAACTGGTAGAGCAGTGCCTGGCACATAGTAGGAGCTCAGGAAGTATCTGTTGAATAAATGTGTGAACTACTTATTTTTTTGAAGAAATCATCTTCATGTCCCTCTGGCCAAAGTGTCCTATGTCTTTATGAACTGGATGAACAAAGTGTCCTATGTTGTTTTGAAATAATTCCCGTCTTTTTCCCTTCAGTGTCCTGAAGGCATTTTAGAAAGAGAGACTTGGCTTTTTTTTTCTTCTTCTTCTTCTTCTTCATGAGCACTGTGGTGTTTAAGATTGTAAATAAAGTCTGAGTGCAGTAACTCACACCTGTAACCCCAGCACTCGGGAAGGCTGAGGTGAGCAGATCACTTGAGGTCAGAAGTTCGAGACCAACCTGGCCAACATGGTGAAACCCTATCCCTACTTAAAATACAAAAATTAGCCGGGCATGGTGGTGCGTGCCAGTAATCCCAGCTACTCGGGAAGCTGAGGCGGGAAAGTCACTTGAACCCAGGAGGCAGAGGCTGCAGTGAACCGAGATCATGCCACCGCACTCCAGCTTGGGCGACACAGTGAGATTCTGTCTCAAAAAAAAAAAAAAAAAAAAAAATTGTACATAGATAAAAGTTCTAAGTTTCTGTTGTTTGATGTATACTTGACTGTACTTAAAGTTTGATTGAGTGAGATAGGCCATCACTGGACACTCACCACTGAGGGGTCCAACCTGCTATGTGCAGGTGGAAGTGCACAACAATTCCGGGACACCAGCTGCCCCTGGGGGAACTGCTGCCTCAGGATTGGAACCTTCCTCCACCCCTACTTCCTTATATTTGCATTACAGTGCTTCTTGGAGCCAACCAGTCTTACCTGATTAGGAATCTCCATTGATAATGACTTGATTCCTGTATTAACCTACTCTGTGGAAGATCCCTTGGCTTTGCAGTCACTCAAAACCAGAAAGGTTCTCTAGATATTTCCAGAGAAATGCCACAGGGCTTCTTTTCATCGTCATATGAAGCAAATTTCTTTCGGAACTTACCTCCATCATTTTCCCTAGTCTCACTCTATTAAGCAACTGTTACTTTTAGCTCCAGTTTTCAGGAATTGCAAACCTGTTCTTCACAGCCAGCCTCAGTCTCAAGCAAGCTATTTTTCTGAAACTCAACTCAGGCTTTCACAAGACTGACTACAATATAGAAAATGTACTCAGTAGGCTGCCAGTCCATGCTTCTCTGGAGGAAGAAAACTCATCTTGGTTTTTTTTTGGGTTTTTTTTTCTTTTAAAAAGAAAAATACTTGGCAATTTGGTAAAAAGCCTCCTACCCAGATTTGCTATGCTGTTTTGCCCTTGTTTATTTAGAAGATGCCACTTGGAAAGATTTACTGAATCTTCAAGCACTAGACAGGAGACAAGGTCTTCATGGTAGAACATGTTTCAGGCAGAACCAAGAGTATACAGAGTGAAGCAGGGTCATCATGGAGCCCTCGGTGAGAGCTGCATTTCTGGTTAATCGATAAAAGGGAGCCACCACCTAGTCATCCCTTTTCCCTGTTCATGTTCATTGGCTGCCATATTATTTCCCCCGCTCCCCCAGATGGAGTCTTGCTCTGTCACCCAGGCTGGAGTGCAGTGGCACAATCTCAGCTCACTGCAACCACCACCTCCCGGGTTCAGGTAATTCTCCTGCCTTAGCCTCCCAAGTAGCTGAGATTACAGGTGCCCGCCACCACACCCGGCTAATTTTTGTATTTTTAGTAGAGATGAGGTTTCACCATGTTGGCCAGGCCGATCTTGAACTCCTGACCTCGTGATCCTCCTGCCTCAGCTTCCCAAAGTGCTGGATTACAAGCATGAGCCACCACGCCCAGCCTGGCTACCATATTATTAAAGGAATTAACGAGGGTCCGAAATATCAATGGATATGCACATCACAACCACATAATTTCTCCACAAAAGATATACAGATGGCCAGTAAGCACATGAAAGTACGCTCAACATACTAGTCATTGGGGAAATACAAATTGCCTTACAATGAGATACCACTTCACACCCATTAGGATGCTGTGGAAAAAATAGAACCTTGATACGTTGCTGGCAGGAATGTAAAATAATGCAGCCACTTTGGAAAACAGTTGGGCAGTTTCTCAAAAGGCAGTTACCATATGACCCAGTAATTCCATTCCTAGGTACATACCCAAGAGAAATAATAACATATCTCAACATACATGCTCAAAGCAGCACTATTCAAAACAGCTGAAAGGTGCTAACAACCCAAACGTTCATCAGCTGATGGATGGGTAAACAAAATGTGGTATATCCATATAATGGAATATTATTCAGCTATAAAAGGGAATGAAGTACTGATAATGTGCTACAACATGGGTGAACCTTAAAAACATTTTGCTAAGTGAAGGAAGATAGACGTAAAAGGTCAATATTGTATGACTCCATTTATATGAAATATCCAGGATAGGCAAATCCATAGAGACGGATAATGGAGGTCGGGGCGAGGGAAGAGGGATGGGGAGTGACTGCTTATGGGTATGCTGTTTCTTTTTGGGGTGGTGAAAATATTCTGGAATTAGATAGTGGTGATGGCTTCACAACCTCATAAATGCATTAAAAACTACCGAATTGGGCCAAGCGTGGTGGCTCACACCTGTAATCCCAGGACTTTGGGAGGCCGAACTGGGTGGATTATTTGAGGTCAGGAGTTTGAGACCACCCTGGCCAATGTGGTGAAACGCTGTCTCTACTAAAAATCCAAAAAAATCAGCTGAGCATGGTGGTGCACACGTGTAGTCCCAGCTACTCAGGAGGCTGAGGCAGGAGAATTGCTTGAACTCGGGAGGCAGAGGTTGCAGTGAACTAAGATCACACCATTTCACTCCAGCCTAGTGACAGAGTGAAACTCTGTCTCAAAGAAAAAAGTTACTGAATTATATGCTTTTAAAAAGTGGATTTTATGGTAGGAAAATTATATATTAATTTTTTTAAAACTCACTATTTGGAACTTGAAACCCACTAGGATGGTTAAAAGAAAAAAGTAATAAGAAAAATAAAATAAAAATAAGTAAATAAAACAACAGGTGTTGGTGAGGATGTAGAGAAATTGGAAATCTCATTTATTATTAATGCAATTGTAAAATGGTACAGCCACTTTGGAAAGCAGTTTGGGAGTTCCTCAGATGTTAATTACGATTATCATATAATTCAGCAATTTTACTCCTAGATGTTTACCCAAGAGAAATGAAAATAGACAAATACTTGTGAATGAAAGTTCATAGCAGCTTCATTTGTAATAACCAAAAGCTGGAAACAATAGAATACTACACAGCAATAAAAAAGAAGGAACTGCTAGGCCAGGCACGGTGGCATGTGCCTTTAGTCCCATCTACTCAGAGGCCAAGGTGAGAGCCCAGGAGTTCTTGACTGCAGTGAGCTGTGATCATGCCACTGCATCCTGCATACCAGCCTGGGTGACGGAGCAAGATCTTATCTCAAAAAAAAAAAAAAAAAAAAAAAAAGGAACTACTAGTTCATGGAAAAACATGAATTAACCCCAAAAACATTATGCTAAGTGGAAGCCAGAAACCAAAGACTTTGTGTTTATATGAAGTTTCTAGAAAAGGCAGAACTATAGACAGAAAGCAGATGCATGGCTGCCTGAGGTTGGGGGTGGGAGTGGCAACTGGTGACAAACTTGCATGAGGGAATTTTTTGCGGTGATGGAAAATATTCTAAAACTGGACTGTGATGATTGGTTGCACAACTGTTTACATTTACTAAGACTCATTGAATTGTGCACTTAAAACGGGTGGATTTATGATATGTAAATTATATGTCAAAAATCTGTTTTTTAAAAATCAGTCAGTCTGGAACTCTGGGTATATTTGGATCAGAAAAAAAAACTTTCTCCCCACTTCCCCACTTTAGACTCGTCCTCCCACTGACTTGAGCTTTAACTTTGATGCCAACAAACAACAAAGACAGCTTATTGCAGAACTGGAAAACAAAAACAGGTAAGAACGCGGAGGCTGAGCCCACTTCCAAAGTCCAGGATTATCTGATTATCATTTTCCTTGGATACTAGGTGGCTTTTGACCGCCAAGGAAGACCTTGCCGTGGTGAACCTAGGCTAGCCCAAGTCCAGGGAATGCCCTGGACACTGATTTGTGTCTGTCTGCTCTGGTAGTCCACAGCTCTGCTCACCTGCCCTTGGGGGATTCCTTTTAGCACGGCCTTCTCACACCCATCCGTGTGACCCCCTCTCACAATTGCATTTTTCACTCTGCTTCCCAGCAGCATTTTGCTGTATCTAGTCAGCTTTTCCTGACCCATTATGCTATGTAGGACTGTCTGGTCTCTCCTTAAAAAAAAAAAAGAAAAGAAAAACCATTTAAAGGCACAGAGAGCAGACAGCACACCATTATGTACTGAAAGGTAGAAGCCAGGTCGAGGAGACCTGACCTAAGGTAACAGGCATAGGTAGAGGCAACACAGCTGTCCACTGGGGCATCGGGGACTGGGGGAAGGAAGGGGCAGGTAAGGATTAAGGGAAGTCAGCACAGGACCTGCATTAGAAGGTTGCAAGGAGTTCCCTTTTCCTCCTGCCTGAGTGGAACAGAGTAAATAAAGTACTCTGGCTGTAATTTTCCTTTCATGGAGATTTTTCAGGTCCTTGAGAAGAGTATTTTTATGACTTTTTCCACCACAAAGGATTGCTTTGTTGAGGAAATGTCAGGTGAAGCAGTATTGAGAAGGTGTCCATTTCACCTCTTGGCCATTTGGAAGCAATCAGAACAAGATTGGTAGAGGAGGCGCTGCTAGAGTTGAACACTTGTAATAGGGAAAGAGGGAGCGTGAGTGAGAAGCACTGTGCAGCCCCTTTCCATTCACACGTCCTCTCCAGAGAGATCCTGCAGGAGATTCAGCGTCTCCGCCTAGAACACGAGCAGGCCTCCCAGCCCACCCCTGAGAAGGCACAGCAGAACCCCACGCTGCTGGCAGAGCTGCGGCTGCTGAGGTGAGTAGGGGCACTCTACCACTTCCCACATGTAATCTACTATGGATGGAACTTATCTGAGGAAACCAAAGGAGTGGGAAAGAATCTGTTGTTCAGTATAAACAATCCTGTGAGAGCAAACCACTGCAGAGTTCACCCATTCTGTTACTGCTTCAGATGTCTGGGTTCCATTAGAAATCACTCTACGAATGTCAGCCATTATCACAGAACTTAGTAAATACCAGTCTCCCAGCTCCGGGACCAGCGGGGCACTGTTTATACTTCTGTGATTGCTTTAAGAAGACCACTGTGCTGCAGTCCCTCTTCTTATCTTGCTAATTTGTCTGACTTTAGAGACAGTTGGCGGGAAGAATGCTTTGCCTTTCCTGTGAGTATATTTTCCTGGCTCTTTACAGTCAGTGCAGGGCTCTGCCAAAGGAGAAGGATGCTTCCTGTGCACGTCTCTGAGACATGAAACCCTTGCACCATGGCTTCTAAACGAAGTGTCTCAAGAATCAGGAAACTAAGGACATAGAATGAGAATGGGATTAGAGAGCAGTGTTACCACCATGTGTGATGCTGTTTTGGAGGGAATGGGGAAGTCTTCACAGAAATGATCTGATTATTAGGGTCTTATTGCCTATGAGCCTTAGGAAGGGGTGTGTGTGTGTGTGTGCACGTGCGCGTGCTCACGCATGTGTGCGTGTGCACGCACATGTGTACACACTCTTCTGTAAGTTAAGACATTATGGAAACTACATTTAGTGACTTGATTCTCACCAGATCTCTAGATTTTCAAATAGTGGGTTCTTTCTGTTTAGGTTGATTTTTAATTTGCTATTATCTGGGATTCTGTGTAGCCTCTTGTTTCTTTTCCCAGAGAATGGAGATTATTGTTTTCTGTAGATAGTCTACTGTTTAGATTTAGATCATCAATAAAAGTTGTCATAGTAGGGTCATAAAGAATTTAAACTGGTGCAGGTGAAAAAAATCATTAGATGTATAGAGATTTTCATTCTCCTAAAAATTTATTTTAGTTTCTTCATGTAGTTAGGCTGAGATTTGGGTGGCTCTGTGGTTCACTGCTGCACGTCTGGGGTGTTAGTACAGCTGGTGTCGTACTGGGGAGGATGGGAGCACAAATGCTGCTGACTTGGGCAGACTGTAAGTCTAGGCTGTTGGCATAAGATACACCTGTTGTCTAGTGCTTGATTTTATATCTAGAAAAGCAAAAAGACCTGTCATCCTGAGTCTAACTGTTGCTGAAACTGGGATTGCTGAAAATGCTCAGTTAAGCTGGAAGGTTCTGAAAAATATCTTAGATGTCGTAGCAGGGCTAAGTCCAGGAATGTCACATAGGAGAGCAAGAAGCAGGAATGTAATCTGAGACCAACGAGCCTCTGAAGGTGGAGAAATCAGAAAGTTTTTAACCTCAAAAGCAGTTCCTATATCACTGAAGAAAGGAGGGACTATTTTAAAGTGTGCTGGGACAGTCGTTTATGCCTATGTACAAAACATGTTGGTCTTCTACCCCACACTAATTACAAAAACCGACACCAGATGGATTCGACGTGAATACAGAACTTTAAAACTTCTAGAAGACTCTGGAGGCTGAGGCAGGAGAATTGCTTGAACCTGGGAGGCGGAGGTTGCAGTGAGCTGAGATTGCGCCATTGCACTCCAGCCTGGGCAACAAGAGCGAAACTCTGTCTCAAAAAAAAAAAAAAATTCTAGAAGAAAAGTAGGAGAATGTCTTCAGGATTTTGGAATAGAAAGTAATATCTTAGAATTACCATAAAAGAAGAAGTTGGTAAATCCACTTATATTAATATTAAGAACTTTTGCTTATCAAAAGACACATAAAGGGCTGGATTCGCTTGTAGGTATCTGACATCCATCTGCTTTTGATCAGTATGTATGAGGCCTGGGACTGCCAGTACCCAGCTAGTATAATAAAACAAGGTGGACAACTTCACCCATAGGGTGAGTGGCTATGAGCCTTGACCACCAGGGTTGCCTTTTCTTCCTTTATTATTATTTTTAATGGTATGTTGCGTACAATAAAATGTATGACAAATGTGCGTGTGACAAACGTATATGAAGCATAATAGTCAAATGAATACTTATGAACCCACATCCTATTTGAGAATTCATATATGACTAAAACAATGTCATCCATAGAAGTACCTCTCCCTTACCCCATTTCCTTGCCTCCACCTTCCCCACTGGGTGAACCCCTATCCAGAATTTGGTTTATCATTACCTTGTGTTTAAAACAGTATTATCGCATTATCACTATCCTATGTAATAAACTGTTTAGTTTTGCCTTTTGTTTTCTGAGCTTAATAGAAATATTGTACTAATATGGTGGGGATAGTCCCAGAGGACTTCCCTGTCTACCCCCTACCCCTACCATATTAGCCTTTAGGATCATTCCATGTGGTTGGATGTAGCTGTAGCTCATTCATTTTCACCTTATACCATAATTGTTTGTTCACACACCGTACAGATAAAGAATATAACATCCAGGCTCAGGAGTTCAGGGAAGGAAGTCTTCCTAGAACATTGAATGAGTAGATCCTTCTTCTCGAGAGTCTACTGCGCTGGAAGTTTAGGGAGTATGAAGACTAGAAGACAATGAGTCTTTCCTAAAAACTTATAATCTGGTTTTGGAACAAAACATAAAATAATTTGGTAGTCAGTTAAATAATATTGTGCAATGTCAATAAACAGTATGGGTAAGAAATCTGTGCAGAGAAATATATATATAATATAATGTATATATACACGAGATATTTTACATATATAATACCTATATAATATAGGTATTATATCTATATTCATTCTCTACCACCTTTGTGTGTCTAATTTTCCTCTGGAAGCATTCGGACCCATGGAGGTGGTAGAAGTTGAGCTAGACCATGAAAAGTAGATAATGATTTGGATGGAGTGCAGAACAAAACATTTCAGATTGGAAGTGTGCTTGGGGTTCAGCATGATTCCCCCAAATAATTACGGCACATTTCAGAAAAGGGAAAGAGTCTTGGAACTAAAAATTTCTTTTCAATAATGTATTACATCAATCTTTAGAGTGCCAGTGATAGGAGATACAATTTGCCAGGCAATTGAGATCAGATTCTAGAAAGTCTTAATTGTTAGGTCATTGGAAACCCTTGGAGAGTTTCAAATCATGATTTCGGTAAGTTCGGCAGATGTTAATTAGGCGATACTGGATGCCTGATATTTTCTTCATCCTTCAATACATGCAGAGATGAGTAAGGCCCATCCCTGACCTCAAGGATTTTGCATCATGGTAGGAATGGCAGTGAGTAAAGTAAATTAAGTACCACTGAGGAGCACTAATTACTGTAGTGCTTAATCAAGCAGTCCCTGCTGCAGTGATCAGGAGCAGCTTCCTGACAGTGATGTTGGGTCAGACATTAAGGAATGAATAAGATTTGGAAGGTGAGTTATATAATTATGGAGCCCACTTAGGAAACGTGAACCATAAGCTGGAGGTCCAGACACAAAGGGCATAAAATAGGAGGTGAGGTGCTAAGGATAGGAATGTAGATGGGATCTAGAGCCGCACTCTCTGATAGAAATGCAGGCCACATATGTAATTAAAAATTTTCTAACAGCCTCATTGAAAAACCAAAAAGTAATAGGTGGCATTAATTTTAATACTATATTTTACTTAACCTGATATTTTCAAAATATTATCCTTTCAACGTGTAATCAGTATTAAAACATGATCAAGATAGTTTGCTTTTTTCTGCGCTGTCTTTGAATTCCAGTGTGTATGTTACAATTGCTGAGCATCTCAATTCAGACTAGCCATGTTTCAGGGGCTCAGTAGTCAGGCATGGCTAGTGGCTACTGTGATAGACAGCATAGGTCTAGATTGTGCAGGCAAGGGTCAGTGATGCTAGAAATTCTGTTGCGATCATTATGGGACGATGAAATGAACATAGCTTTGCTTTGAGCAGCAGTTTAAAGTTCATAGAATACCCTCATGTTTATTACCTTATATGATCCTCAGAATATTGTTGCTGTTACTAGTCCCCTTTTAGAGGAGAGAAAACTGAGGCTAAGTGACTTGTCTAAGGTTGCATATTTGGTAAATAGTGGGGCTGATACTCAACTTTGAGGCTGTTGCCTTCTATTCCACTGCTTTTTCCTCACCATAAAAGATGAAAGAGCCAGGCGCGGTGGCTCACACCTGTAATCCCAGCACTTTGGGAGGCTGAGGCGGGTGAATCACTTGAGGTCAGGAATTCGAGACCAGCCTGGCCAACATGGTGAAACTCCATCTCTACTAAAAATACAAAATTAGCTGGATATGGTGGTGATGCCTGTAATCCCAGCTATTTAGGAGGCCTGAGGCAGGAGAATCGTTTGAACTGGGGAGGTGAAGGTTACAGTGAGCCAAGATCGCACCATTGCACTCCAGCCTGGGCGACAGAGTGAGACTCCATCACAAAAAAAAAAAAAAAAAAAAGCAAGATTAATCACACAAGGAGACTGTTTGATGTTTGAGGTAAGGAGTGCTTAGATAAAGCGAGCGAAATGGGAATAGAAAGATAGGCACATAAATTTTCCAAGAAAGAATGATCTGAATTGAGTTATTGATTGAATATGGAATATAAAGAAGAAAGTAACAAAGAGGACTGAATTTTTCAGCCATGACACCTGGAAGGAAAAATAGCAGAGACAGAGAAAAGAGACAGAGACAAGAAAAAAAAGAGACAGAGACAAGAAAACCATTTAGGGAGAAAAATCTTAAGTCTGGTTTTGGACATACTGAGCTAGAGTAGATGGTGTAAAATGTATCCTCAAGGAAAAGTGACTGTTCTTGGACACAGGGAGCCATCTTGATCTGTCGCCCTTCTTGAATCTGTCTAGTGTCAGAAGTACTTGCTACTGAACCCTGTTTTCTCTGAGCAGTTTCATATGGTTTCTCTACTATTAATCTAAATTTGGGCTGATTTTATATATTTTTCGAAAAGCATTGACTTTCTAAAGAGTTTTTTGATCATTAATTCACTCTGGTAATATGAATAATATCTTTATATGGTCATGTAAACTTTCCAAAGCAGTTTTACCTATGATTCTCAAAACAGTCCAGGAAAGTAGGCAAAACAGACGTTATCACCATTTTTTGAGGTATTGGAAGCTAAATGACTTGCTCAGCATCTCATAACTGGTAAGTAGCAGGATCAGGTCTGAAATCCATTTCACCTGGCCTTAGATCCATCTTTGAGGGTCCCTTTATCTGATGGGCTTCTCCTCTTGGACAGGCAAAGGAAGGATGAACTGGAGCAGAGGATGTCGGCCCTGCAGGAGAGCAGGCGGGAACTGATGGTCCAGCTAGAAGAGTTGATGAAGTTGCTGAAGGTAAGAGCCCGCAGCCCACGCTCAGTTCTTGTCATTCTTCTCCCACCACAGCCTCAGCAGCTGCCTCCCTGTGATGTCAGAATAGGATGAGGCTAAAGGCTTGACTTTAGCCTAGAATCAGTTTTCAGATAAATTTCATAAATTTAGCCTAATTGGGTATAAAAGTCATGTAAACTAGTGCAAAGCCAGATTATTAAAAAACTTGTAACTGGAAGTAGGATAACGTGTTGAGCAGTTGCTTTTATGAATACATAAGAATGTTTATAAATAGGATATTAGCTATGTACAAATGAATAATGTTTCTCAACTACTTAAAGTGGTGTTTGTTTGTTTGTTTGTTTGTTTTGAGATGGAGTCTCACTCTGTCGCCCAGGTTAGAGTTCAGTGGTGCCATCTTGGCTCACTGGAACCTCTGCCTCCCAGGTTCAAGTGATTCTCCTGCCTCAGCCTCCCGAGTAGCTGGGATTACAGATGCCCACCACCACGCCTGGCTAATTTTTTTTGTATTTTTGGTAGAGATGGAGTTTTGCCATGTTGGCCAGGCTGGTCTCAAACTCCTGACCTCAGGTGATCCACCCACTTCAGCCTCCCAAAGTGTTGGAATTACAGGCGTGAGCCATTGCTCCTGGCCTTAAAGTTTCTGTTAAGACAAGTTTTCAAATATTCCACTTAAATACTTAACAAATATTAAGTGTCCTATTTCAATAAGTAGTACAGAGACAACCTGTATTAGGGTTCTGCAGAAAAATTGGACCAGTAGAATATATATAAAGATATCTAAGAGGGGATTTATTACGGGAATTGGCTTACAGTCATGGAGTTAAAGAAGTCTCATGTTAATGCCATCTGCATCCTGGAGACTGAGAAAACTGGTGGTGTAATTCAGTCCGTCTCTGAAGGGCTGAGAACCAGGGGAACTGAGGGTGTGACTCCCAATCTGGGAGGTGGCTTGGGAGATGGGCAGTGTTGTGTTACTGGTTTAAGTCCCAGAGTCCAAAAGCCCAAGAACTTGGGGAGCTCACATGTCTGAGGGCATAGAAGATGATGTTCTGGCACAATAGCCCTTCCTCTGCCTTTTTCTTCTATCCGAGTCCTCAGTGGATTGGATGATGCTGCCCATGTTGGTGAAGGCAGATCTTTATTCAGTCTAATGATTCAAATGCCAATCTCTTTTGGAAACACCCTCACAGACACACCTAGAAATTATGTTTTACCAGCTGACTATCCTTTAATCTGGTAAAGTTGATACATAAAAATAACCACCACAAAAACCAACCTAATTAAACCATTCTAGTCAGTAACTTTACTATATTAGGAGTAAGATAGCATATTAGCTCTAGGTTTGGGATACTGGGGAACTGAATACATGCGTAATAAGTCAGGTCTATCTTGTGGTGTGATCATAGCTCACTGTAACCTTGCTTGAGCTGGGTTCAACGGATCTGCCTGCCTCAGCCTCCTGAGTGGCTAAGACTACAGGCACACGAGGTCTGTCTATTCTTGTTGAAAGCTATATTACAGCCCCTTTACCCCTGAGCAAAGAAAGGCATGCTTGGCATTTGAATGCCCTACCCTGGACAATTTTATTGGAATTGAACAGAAATATCTACCTGGTTACTTAGCAGCAATACCAGGATACTTCCTCCTGCTGTTACTTTCTCAGGTGCTGCCCAGCGATGCTGAGAACCTGCTGCATTTAGTAGTATGATACCGAGTTAACAGCCAGAGAAAATCACAAAGTGTGGAGTGCCCCCAAAGCCAGATGACAGGAGTGAATTTAATCTTGTGGTAAAGGGGAGTCATTGGAGGTTTTAAAAATAACAGTTTAGGAAAATACGCAGGACAAGTTAGAACAGGGAGAAACTAAAGGATAATAGGAGACTTAGTTCATCCTCCAGGCCCAAAGTGACAAGGATCTTAACCCCAGGAGTGGTAGCCCAGGAGAATATCAGTTTAGAGACTTTTCTCCAACTTGTGCATCCTCAGTCAGTCTCTTAGTAATGAAGCTAGTGGGCATTAGCAACTTGGATAAATGTAGAATTTGCGTTTTAAACTGAATTTTGACTTGCTCAAGACAGTTACTGTTTTGTCATGAGTTGAGTTGGTGGTGGTGGTGGTGGTGGTGGTGGTTGTGGTTGTTGTTGTTTTCCTCCTAGCTTTGGCCGTATTTGGGTGGTTTTGCATAGATATGTTTCTACATTAACCCTGTTAGCAGGATTTTTCCTCAGAAATATTTTGTGTCTAAATGGGTCTTGTTTAAAAAAAACTTATGTAAAAATTTGGCCCAAATCCCTATAATAGTTGTCAGATATCCAGCTAAGCAACCTAGCCCCTCACTCTAAACAGCAGGGATGTACTTAAACATACATGGCTTGTGTAACATCTGAAGCCTCATGGGACTTTAAAAGCCCAGCTGCCATGGAGTTAGTACACCTGTGGGATGGGAGATATCCAGTCGGTATCCAGTCGGGTACAGTGGCTAACGCCTGTAATACCAGCACTTTGGGAGGCCAAGGCGGATGGATCACTTGAGGCCAGGAGTTCAGCCTGGCTGACATGGCAAAACCCCGTCTCTACTAAAAATACAAAAATTAACCCGGCGTGGTGGCACGTGCCTGTAATCCCAGCTACTCAGGAGGCTGAGGCAGGAGAATCGCTTGAACCCAGAAGGCGGAGGCTGCAGTGAGCGGAGATTGCACCACTGTACTCAAGCCTGGGTCACAGAGTGAGACTCAGTCTCAAAAAAGAAAAAAAGAATGAGGGATCCACTCACCTCTTCCATGTGTCACATCTCCCTTTTCAGAAAGATGTTCTCAAATATTACCCAAGCATAGATGGGAAAGTCCCAGTGCCCCAATATGGTTTTTGTAAAAGGCAAAAGGCGTATGTAAACTGAAGGGAAACCAGAGTGCATCTCCCCTAAGTAACCTTGTACCATCGCCTTTCAGTTGGATTGTCTTAGCGATCCCCAGAACTACTGACTCCAAGCCCCATGCATGCCACTGTGGCCTTCTAGTGTACCACTGATGCTTGTATTCAAGGGAAGCAGAATGAGCTAATGCCCGCAACTCTACTCCCAAACCTTGAGTTTCTTTATATTTGCAGCTGTAATCAGTAAAATAAGCAGGACACTGCTGCCCCTGTAGGATCCCCTGCCAGGTTCTTACCCATCTGACAGGCTAAGACTATTCAGACTGGGAGGAAGAATTTGCAAACACAAATCTGGTAATGTTGTCTTTCTATCCATTGGCTAGAATTCACAGTCGAAAATCTCATGCCTTTAGTGTCTAGCTTCCTAAAAGAATTACCACATAATCTTAATTTTTGTATTATATGCATACCTAAAAGTTCATACACAGGAATTACTGACTTCTGTTAAAATTTCAGTGTTCTCCTACTATTAAAAATATATATTCATCAACCCATAAAAGTACCCTTTAGAATCCTAATTTTAGGCCAGGTGCAGTGGCTCACACCTGCAATCCCAGCACTTTGGAAGGCTGAGGTGGGTGGATCACTTGAGGTCAGGAGTTTGAGACCAGCCTGGCCAACATGGTGAAACCCCATCTCTACCAAAAATACAAAAATTACCCGAGCATGGTGGCATGCGCCTATAATCCCAGCAGGATTTATCCTCAGAAATACTTTGTGTCTAAATGGGTTTTGTTTAAAAAAAATCTTATGTAAAAATTTGACCCAAATCCCTATAATCGTTGTCAGATATCCAGCTAAGCAACCTAGCCCCTCACTCTAAACAGCAGGGATGTACTTAAACATACATGGCCTGTGTGACATCTGCAGCCTCATGGGACTTTAAAAGCCTGGCAGCCATGGAGTTAGTACACCTGTGGGATGTGAGGGACACAGGAGGTAGAGGCTGCAGCGAGTCGAGATCGCACCACTGCACCCCAGCCTGGGCGACAAAGCAAGACCCTGTCTCAAAAAAAAAAAAAAAAAAAAAGGGGAGAGAGAGAGAGAGAGAGAGAGAAAATCCTGATTTTAATTTAAAAGGGTTGCCTGCTTTTATTGATGTTCAGTATGCTAGCATTTAATTCTCTCATAAAATAGCTGTAAGCAGTTAGTCAAATGGATAATCAAGCCACATGGTCTGGGATACTCACAAATTAAAATACATCACACAATAAATTTTCATGCCACAGTGAGTTCTTTCATTCTGCTGCTTCAGGAAACTATTAGGTACTTTATCTTCTGTCTGAAATGATAATTTAAAGAAGCATACATAAGAAGTGACATCATTGTTAATTCATTCAACAAAAATATTAATACTTTTTTGGAATAAGGCAGGGTTAAAATTAATTTTTTTGTTTATTTAATAAAAATCTGTTGAGTTCCTAAGTGTCATATTAGGTATTTGGCATATCGTGGTGACTAGACCCAATCCCTGTCACCAAGGAGTACCAAGGTCCCTCCTTCTTTGTTTTTTGGTTTTTGTCTGAGATGGAGTCTCACTGTGTTGCCCAGGCTGGGGTGCAGTGGCACAATCTTTGCTCACAGCAACCTCCGCCTCCCAGACTCAAGTGAGTCTCCTGCCTCCTGCTTCAGCTTCCTGAGTAGTTGGGATTGCAGGCACCCACCACCACAACTGGCTAATTTTTGCATTTTTAGTAGACAGGCTTGGCCTCCCAAAGTGCTGGGATTACAGGCACGAGCCACCCTTTATTCTTTTTAATGACGTGATGTAGACTGACACTTAGGCATTCATATTTCTCTACATATCTTTCCTTTATACCTTTTTACCTGATTAATGAGTATTAATTAATTAATTACTTGCCTCAAAAAAAAAACTTCCTGTTTAATCTAGAAGTGTTTATATGTTGGTGTTTCTAATCCATGTTCTACTTCATTTTCCATTTGTCTAATACTGCTTTTGAAACTCATTTACCAGGCCAGGTGCAGTGGCTCATGCCTGTAATCCCAACACTTTGGGAGGCCGAGGCAGGTGGATCACCTGAGGTCAAGACCAGCCTGGCCAACATGAT